CCTCCGCGCTCCCCCCCGTCCCTTCCCTGCCATGCCTCGCCTGCCCGCGCTCCCGCTCCCCGGGCTGTTCCGCTGCCTCTGTGACTTCTCTGAACAGGTGACAGTGCTGTGGTCATGGGGCCGCTCGATCGAAACGGAGCACGGAGAGGGACAGGAGCCAACAAAAATAACGGGTGTGGTTACTGCTGAGCAAACCAAGCTTCCATTGCTGTTTTTCTTCGGCTTCACGCTCAGAGGTGGGGTGAGTTGGGGTAAGTCACTCCCTGCGAGAGGAGGAAGGAGAGGGGAGGGCGGAAAGGTGGGGTCCGGGAAGCCAGGCTGCCGTTGTGTGGGCTGCGTCCTGCTGCCCCCAAAGCGTGCGCAGGCAAGGGGAGAGCCGAGCCAGTTGTTGCCCGAGCTGGCATCTTCCCGGCACGAGTCCGACCGGCGCCCACCTTGCCGCCTTCGGTGCCGCCGCGATTTCCATCAGCGAGGAGCAGGCAGAATACCACCCAGCCTCTGAGCTGGGAGAGGCGTTCGATGACTCCTGGCAGGTTGTGACAGAAGGGTAATTGTAGCTACAAACTTCTCTGTGAAGGGAATCATTGTGCTTTTTAAACAGACCGTAAAAATCCCCAGCAATGCCGATGTTCGAACAGCTAAACAGCGATTAAAGACGCTGGCGCTACAAGACCTGGGCATGTTATTTCCAGAGAAGATGTCAGCAGCTGCTGAATTCCTGCCTTTACTGCGCCGCGCAGCCTCTGTGGAAACGGTGGCGTTCTATTCAGCCTTAGCTAGGGAGAGGCGGAGGTCCTGAGCTGCCTCTGAGCATCCTCCGGTTTTCAGCTCCATTTCTTGGAGCCGGGCAACGAGGCCATCCCCGGCGCTTGCAGCAGGGTGTTCCGGTGGCTCTGGGGACAGTGACACCAAGCAGAGCAGGAGCCAGTGGTGTCACCAACGTGGTCCTCATCTCGCTGACGTGGCGTCTCCAGTGTACGCTTCTGGGGTCACATACAATTACATCTAATAATGTTAGTACTCGGCAGTCTGTACTGGTGCAAATGTTCTGCTGCGGCCCTAAAAACCTTCACTGGTTTTTGTTTTTTTTGTTAGATTCTTGCCAAGAAACTGGAAGGCGACCAGACGGAGAGGAAGCCGAACACCTCTGGTTCCTACCTGGGCTTGCCGGGTGCTGTGGAGCTGGTATGGTACTCATGGACCACGACTGCTTTCAACCTCTCGACTCCTTCCTGGGCTGTATCTCTCTCTCGCTCTTAACGTTATGCCAGCCTCTTCTGTCAGAAGCAATAAGGTTTGTGACAGGACTCTGTATCCAGTGAGAAGGTTTCCCAAACTTCTCTAAAACAAATCCCTGGTATGTCACAGGTCCAGCTGTCTGTAATTGTTGGAGAGCAACTGGGTACGGCCAGTGGCGCTTTGAGCCGGAGGAGGTTGCTCTGGCGAGAGGATCGTTTCCATCTGCCGGCCCTTCCTACCCCATTCCCACGTGCATGCCAGCACCCGGCAGGTACATATCGCTGGGGCCGCAGCGTTTTGTCAAACGGTCCTTACAGAGCACTTGCGAGTCTGTTTGCTTTCAGATAAAGGGGTGAGGGGCTGTGGGTTACATCGGCGGGGCTTCTTGAAACGAGACGCACTGCTGTTTTCCTCCCCAGTGCCCGCACGCGGTCTGGTGATGGAGGCACGCCTGCGTGCCATGAGGCTCAGCGTGGCTTTGCAGTCCGTGCGGACGTTGCCGGGCAGGTATGGCCGGACCTCACTGAACTTCACGCCAAAGCCAGCGCCCTCCACGGCCTCCTCCACCACGTTCCTCCCCGGGCGGAGGCATGAGAAAACTTGCTTTTTGAAGGCGTCATAGTTTTCCCGTAGGATGGTCACCATCGCCACGTGCCGCCCCGGCTTCATGAGGGCACCGACGTTTCTCAGGGCACCGCAGAACGTGGCCAGGTCCTCGCAGGCGGCCTCCGAGCAGAGGGTGGGGAGGAGGCGGTCGTCGGCAGGGAGGCGGGGTCCGTGGGGTTGGCTTTGGTCACGTTGCGCTTCAGAACCTGCCTCGCCTCCTTTCTCGGTTTCTCCTCTTTCGCAGCCCGCTTCTCCCTAGCAAGTGAATAAACAAATACATAGACGTGGTTATTTAGCACCTGCGACTTCATGTACACCGTGGTTGGTGGCAGGG